CCGTTAACCGCCCAACCGGCTCGCACTAGGTACATCCCGATTTGAGACTCGAGATGCTACCCCCACCCTCCTCCTCGCTCGGCGTTCAAGCAACCAAGCATGCCCACTACCGGATGCCAACCACGGCATGTACGGATACGCATGTACATGGCTACCTCTCTAGGGCACCGGGGTGAGGAGGGAGAAGCATGCGGCTCGAGCTAGATTCGGGGGAGTGAGGCAGCGTGCGGCCAGAAGATGGAAGGAGAGGGAAGCATACGGCTAGAAGCAGGGTGGAGGAGAGGAGCACCGCAAGGCGCACACACCCACACTAGCACGCCTCGCGGTCATGGATCTAAGCTGCATAACGCAAGGTGGCCATTTCCTGAATTGCCGGGCTCGTCGGAGAGGCGCGTGTGTCTCGCTCCCATGACCTTCTGGAGTCAATCCATGGAGCTGCCCGCCCAGGGCGGGAAACGGGGGGCAAGAGCGAGCCTTGGGAGAGTGTCTAACCTACCTAGGAACACCTATGGTCTCTTTGCCCGGGCAAAGTGGGCAGAGTGGGCAGGTATGACTCGGCAATAGGTCATGGACGAGGCCGTAGCGGATCATCTCCTTCTTGCACTTGATCCATTTACCCCCTCCAGCACAAGTCCCCGCGTGGTGGAGGCGGAGTATTCTCCGGGAGGGGGTAGTAATGCGGTCGCGCCTACGAATGCGCAGTTACGAGCGAGTCAAGTGCCTCGATATTGCGCTTGGAAAGCCGATACATTGCAGCCGGGGCCGTTCCAAGAAATTTAAGACACCCTCTACCAAAAGAAGTAAAGCAAGCCGAAGAATAGTTAGAGGATCAAGGCCAGGACGTGTTACTGCGTAGGAAGGCGGTTCTTGCTACGGTTGTAGTATGGAAAGAGATGCATACTTCGCTCGGCTATTTCAATATACTAGAATTACCTCCTTTTCTATGCCGTATAGTAATCTTGGCTTGAGAATGGGTTCATGTTTACTCTGCTGATACCCATTCATCGATATCTTGTCATTTCTTGTCGCCTCGCGTTGAAGCAGGCTGCCCCGGTTTTCCTCGCGAATTTGCGTGATCGGAGTGAACGCAGAGTTACCGCGGGGCCAGGTCGTCAGCATGACGTTCAAGTTTGCCTCGGACCATACCTACCTATTCAAGGGCTGAGTCCATCGGTCATGAGCAGTATTGAGCATGCTGGATATTGACGCCCTTGTCCCATATTGTGGTCCCATCTCGCGGCTCGACGTGGATGAGGGGCGCTCGAGCCCCTCCAGGATGCGCACAGTGTTGATTGAATGGATCCACTCTGCGCTCATAATCAATGGAGGATGAGAAAGGTCATCGATCGGATGAGCAATGGCTCGTCGGATGGGGTGCTCGGATGGCGATGTGGTCCTAGATAGTGGCAAACTCCGTCGCGGCCATCCATGTAAGGTATGCACCTTGGTACTCAGGGACTATCTGACACAGCCATTGTCAGTTCCCTGTTGAGATATGGAGCGTGTACCCAGGCTGCGAGGTCCCTCGGGAGGTTGGTCTGTACGAATCCGTATTTACCGATGTTACGGATTAACTACCTCGTTATTCAGAAAAAAAAAAAAAAAAAGCTTAACACTTCCCGTCCCCCACAGCCCGGATTTAAACCCGATTGGTCATGCTAGAAAGAAGTGAAGGTAAAGACCTCCCAGACCTAGACTTGCTCCGCGACAACGAAGCAAAGAGAGGAAAGGTGGCCGATGTCTTGAAGGTGCCGTGGGGAGGGTGCCGCAGCGCCTTGTCGATAACCTCGTTGATTCAATGCCACGCCCGCCAACCACAATGCGAAAAGTATGTGAACATATTTTTTGACCAGAGCTTTTAGGTAGGAACCTTGTTGTGGCTCAGCCCTATAACCAGTGGACCTTCGGTGCCTCCGAACTGGTCGGATCAGACTGGGAGTCCGAACTTTGCATCGGAATCATCAAGACCGAGGCATGATGCCGAATCCGAAAAGGAAGGCTGATTCGGAAAGGCGAAGTGATATTATCGAAACTCAACAAAACAAGGGCCACTGGTGGTTGGAGGTTTCTACACTACATTTTCGTGTCACCCCAAAATGCCAGATTTTGGTATGCAGGCGAGGGCAAACGGAGCGCGTGCTGCTTTCTTTCTTCTGCGTTCAACCGAAGGAACGTCGTGGCATCCCTGCGCCAGATTTTAGCAGAGGAGCAAGTCTTACATGAGCTGGTGAGCAAGAGTGCGAGGCCCATCCAGGAAAACCCTGAATGCATGTGCAAACGGCCAAAAAAGTTCTTGACAATCAACAAGAACATTGATGACCTCAGGTTGCCTTGATGGGAAGGAAGGAATCAGAGAACCTTGCCGTGGAACTTTCCTAAAAGATCGCCAAATTCCCGCTGCGGGTTCTTTGGCCAGATCCCGGATGCGGGGCCGGCCCTCCAGAGGTTGCTGGGAACTTTTGACAGGAAATGCAAGCAATTTCATCAAGCCGGCAGCACTTTTGGGCGTCCCTCTGAGTGGCTTCGGGCCCGGGCCTCATGCGAACTTTTAAGCTTTTCGGCGCAGGATTGTTGGTCCAAAATCCCCGAAACCCCCTCGACTGCGAAATAACCAACCCCCAATGCCCGTCATTGCCTCGCCGATCCGGAACTTCTTGTGTACTCACCGCCCATAAACGGCAATTCAAAGGTCCTCGACAACCAAAATTCATGGACGAAATCGTCAGCTTACCGGTCGGCCCAAGGCACGCGAGAGCGAGCCAGGCTTGATTGGGGGTGTGGTGGAGCGCAAAGGTTCCATGCGCTAGCTTCGCTCGGCAAGGCGGGCCCCCCAAACGCACTCAAAGCACTGGTCGCAGCCAATCGTGGGCGGCCATAACAAGTTCCAGCGGCCCAGCTTAATGGTTTCAGACAGGTTGTGGGCACCGATCATGGCGCGGAACTTTCACACGATGTCTTTCCCGGTCGTTTCACCGTCTGTCTTGGGGTTGTGGAGGAAGCAGTCAGTCATTGACACCATTTCCAAACTGGGGGTATCGATTACTGCACGTGGTCGTCGATGTTACCGTGGGAGAGGAGCAGCTTGCTAGAGCGAGGTTCCAGTTCTCGCCCCACACAGAGAATGGAAGAAGAGTTACCGTCAAGAGTTCTCTTCATTCTTCCTGTTCTCTTCCTCCGGCTATCTCTAGCATTAGCCGTGCGTGTCTGACTTGTTCCGCCTTCCGCTCTCTGCCCTTTCCGCTGTTGCTGGCAACAACACATGGGACGCGAATCGACTCAACCAAGCACGGCCACTTGAAACGGCATCCCACTCCTATTCCCGTTGAATTGCCTCTCGACTTTGGCCCTTTTCTAAACACCATCGTGGGAGGGGAATCGGCAGGATAGGGAAAAGCCCACCCGGTCATGGCCTTTCCCGTGCTCGCGGCCGGCGGCGTCGTCTTGGCCTTCGCCGTCTACAGATATGTCTCAGGACTGCAAAAGAATATCGCCAAAGCGCGGAAAACGGGCTTTGTCTATCTCATTGTCCGTAAGTAGCATGGACCCTCCTCATCTCCCGCGGGTACATCTACCATGCAAATGCGAAAGCCTGTCTGACAAAACATGCCCAGCTATCTGCCCTATAAACCTAGCATGGCAGCTTACCTTCACCATATGGGTTCCCATCATCAAATTGCTCCCAAAGTCGCTGTGGGAGCATTGGTTATTGTAAATCCACCCCTTCTTTTCTTCGCTCGTTTGCAGACCGTTACTGACTGGCCCTCCCAGTGTCATGTTCCCCAACTGGGCCTACGATACCAACCAGACACACTTTGACCGGCTGGGGTCTGAAACCTTCCTGGTTGTATCGCCTGGCAACCTCTTGATGTATACCCAAAACGCCGAGATGATCCACCAGATAACGCAACGCCGCGAGGCCTTCCCCAAGGACATCGCCAAGTACGGCGTCCTCGACATGTTCGGCAAGAGTGTCCTCACCACCGAGGGGCCCCTGTGGCGCCTGCACCGCAAGGTAACCAGCGCCAGTTTCAACGAGAAGAACGCCGCGCACACCTTTGCCGAGGCCATCAACCAGACGAGGGGAATGCTCGACATGTGGCTCGGGCCGGACGGCGCGAAGACGGGCAAGTCCAAGACCATCAACTCGCTGGAGCAGGACACCATGACGTGGGCGCTCAACATCATCGGCTACGTGGGCTTCGGCCTGCGCCTGCTCTGGCCCGGCCAGACGCTGCCCAAGGATATTGACCCCACGCTGGCCAAGTACGGTAGCTTAGATCCGCCTCCGGGACACACGTTGACCTTTGCCGACTCGGTGGCCCTCACCCTTGAGAGGATTGTTGCCATCATGATCTGGAACGAGCGGATCCTCGGTGCGTATCCCCACCTCCCTCCGTCCAACCAGCCGCAGCGACCAACACTAACACCGTCCAGGCATCCTCCCCTTCAAGTTCGCCGACGAAGCCTACAAAGGCAAACGCAACTACCTCAAGTACATGGACGAGTTTCTCCACGACAAAGTCGAAGAAACACGACGCGGTGGCGCCCCGCGCGAAGGCATGGACATCATGGGCCAACTCGTACAATCGCAATACAGCCCCAAAACCGCCAAGAGCAGCAACAACAACACCTCCTCCACCGCCTTCTCCCTTTCTGACACAGACATAATCGGCAACGCCTTCATCATGATCGTCGCCGGGCACGAAACGACCGCCAACACGCTCCACTTTTCCCTCGTCGAGCTCGCCACGAACCCGTCCACGCAACGGCGCCTCCAATCCGAGATCGACGCCCTCTTCGGCACCACCGACCCCTCGACCTGGGACTACGAGAAGAACATCAACGCGCTCCTCGCCTCCCACGCCGGCGCCACCATCAACGAAACCCTGCGCCTCATGCCCCCGGTCGTCGGCATCCCCAAAGTCGTGCCCCCGGGCGCCGACCAGACCGTCACCGTCGACGGCCGCACCCACGTCCTCCCCCCCGGCCTCGCCATCTCCCTCATGGCCGTGTGCGCACACCGCAACCCGCGCTGGTGGCCCACCCGCCCCAGCGAGCGCACCGGGTGCGCGCATGATATGGATGATTTCCTGCCGGAGCGGTGGTACCGCAGCGCGGCGCCGGCGCAGGAGAAGGGTGCTGCGTCGAGCGTGGTTGATGACAAGGGTGACTACGGCGGGTTCCAGGGCAGCGATGTCGCCGCGTCGCTGTACCGGCCCGTGCGCGGCAGCTACCTGCCCTTTAGTGACGGGCCGCGGTCGTGTCTGGGGCGGCGGATTGCCATGGTGGAGATGGGGGCGGTGCTGGCGGTGATTTTTCAGAAGTACAGCATTGAGCTGGCGGTGGATGAGTGGGCGAGCGACGAGGAGGTGGAGGCCATGGGTGCGGAGCAGAGGAGGGCGGTGTATGGGAGGGCGCAGGAGAAGTGTAAGGATACGCTGAAGCAGGCCATCTCGGTGTTGACGTTGAAGTTGCATGGGGGGAGGCATGTGCCGGTGAGGTTTGTGGAGAGGGGGAAGGAGCGGTTTGTAAATGACACCGCGTTATGATGATTGCATGATGGATGGAGTTTTACTTGTTTTATTGTTCAGGGTTAACTACCTTATGTTTAATTGGGGGTAGATGGGTTGGTTGTACGAAAGATGAGGATGATGAATTAGTTTGTGTTTATGTTCACCTCTGATGATCTTTTATTTTCATCTCTTTATTTGCATCTCATGATGGATGTAATTGGTGTTGTGATGGATGAGCACTTCAATGCACCGATTTGGACTTGTCTCTGTCCCTCACCATTGCCTCTCATTGGCTTATCCAACCCCAGCCCCCCATTTTTCTGATGTTTTGGGCAATCACCTGCCCAGCTCCGACCGGAAGCTCCCCCCTGCTCCAACGCACCTCATCGCTACCGGGCCGCCTTACCCCAAACACGTTGGGACAAAACATAAACAACGCACAGGTCACTTTCTCGAAGCCCCCTCCCCCTCCACCTCCCCCCCCAGCAATTCAGCATCATAGCTCTCGCTTCGTGCTCCAAACAACATCCCAGCTTTTTATCACGATACTCGACCCACTGCACAACCATCGTCATCCCCTCTACAGTCGCCTCATTTGCGCGACCATATTGATATCACACACGCCCTTTTTTGAATTCTTCGTTATCTCATCATGAGCGGAAACGGTTGGTTGTCGCGCCAGCGCAAGTCAGACCTCGTCGACCTGGCGCAAGTCCTCGGGCTAGAGTACGTTGCTGCAACTATGTTTTACCTCCACCAGCCACACTCTTTGGATGGATACTCGAGGAACTCACCACAATGATTTTTTGTGGTATTCTTTTTGTCGTGGTCTCCATTTGCAGGCGTATTGGTCTGTTTGTGCCGTGATCATGTATCTCGGCGCAACTTGCAGCGCGTTGCATCACCACTCCCACCAAGCTGTCCCACCTCCTGACCCAAACGCGTCGCAACACACACGAGACTGTTATCACGGCACTATCTAACGAGCTCCCCTTGTGCACAGATCCGAGGGCTTACGAAAGCCGGAACTGGAGCTCGTCATCGACGAGTACCTTTCCGATCACGCCTCCAAGTTCCAACTGGATCCCCGGTTCCAGGACTACTTCAAGAGCCGTGCTCGTGCCGGCGGCTCGCCCATCAAGAAGGAGACCTTTGCCGCCTCTGACATGAAGGTGTCGCGGAGGAGGGCACCCAAGCCAACCGAGGAGATCGTTGCTGCCGAGTGAGTCTGCCCCTTTCTCGGCCCGCTGTCGCGTCTTCCGGATGATACCCCCCCTTCTCCCGGGTAAACAAAACAAACTTTCCAGTCCCGCCCCTTACTAACCAGCCTATTCTCCCCACAGAGACGAAGAAGAAGATGAAGAGGAGGAGGAGGAAGAAGAAGAGGAGGAGGAAAAAGAAGAGGTCGACGACGAAGAGGAGAGCAACACCCTCACCGCCCAAGCCGCCCAGGCCGCACAAGACGCCTCCACCGCCGTGGTGCGCACCCCGTCCCGGGCGCTCGCGATGGCCGCGCGCCTGCAGCTTCCCGCGACGCCGGCGGACGTGGCGCAGGCGGTGGACCGCAGCACGGTGGCCGTGCGGGCGCGCGTGGCGTCGCTGTACCACGAGTCCGGCACGACCGAGGCCATCGAGACGACGCGCGAGTGGCTGTCGACGGTGCACTCGGTCGTGTCGGCCATCGCGCTGTTCGAGCTGTACCGCCTGCGCCAGGAAGTGCTCCCGGACCGCTACGCCTTCACCCTCCCCGCCGTGGCCCTCCTCGGCACCCCGGACTACCCCGTCCACCTGCCCGACATGTTCGCCCTCGTCACCGCCGGCTTCTGGGTCCCCGCCCTCACCTGGGCCGTCACCAGCGTCGTGCTGCCCAGCCTCGGCGGCTACTTCTTCAACCTCAGCGGCGCCGCCGCCCACCAGCAGCCTTCTTCTGGCCGCGGGCGGCGCTCGTCCGGCGGCGGCGGCCACCAAGTCGAGTACACCGTCGACCCGGTCATGTTCAGCATTGTCAAGGCCATCGTCACCTATGTGGTCTATGCGCAGGGCGTCACGTTCGGCGTCATCAACCCTGACGCGGTCGCCCGCATCAACTCGGCGCTGTACTCGGGCTGGAGGGGCGTGCTGGTCGGGACGGCCGTGTCGGGATTGACGGCTGTGTACGATGCCGTGTTGAGGAAGTAAGGCGCGAATTTTGGGTGAGGTTGGTTTGGGAGGAAAGGGGGAAGGGAGTGTGCCGTTCCGTGGGATGGGGGTTGGAGATTGGAGATATAGGCAGTGGGTTGGGTTGGGCGTGAGCTGCGAGCGGCTCTGGCCCCGCGCTTAAGGGGTGGCTCTTGGAGGCGTTTGAGGCGTTGGGCTGTGCGCGCTTCCCCGTATTGGTTTTTTCTTATTTTTTTTGGTTGTTGTTTTCCCTCTCTCCTTTTCTTGACTTCCTCTGGCGTCATGGGATTCTGGATTCTCGGATGCCTGATACCATCCCTATCTTAACCTGGTCCGATTTCACCTCCACTCTTTGATCCTTATCTACTATCTTGGGACCTATTTTGCCAGCCATGCTCCAACCATGGCATCCGGTATGATAGAGGACAGGGGGTAGGATTGGGTGTATATGTTGTAAATCAGCTTAGCATGCCTGATATGTTTTCACTCTCCTTGGTTTGCTTTATCTCGGGCGGAGGTGGTGCGGTTGCGGGACAGGGGTGAAGGTTTCTCTGGTCTGTCCGCAATTTCGTCCCTTGGTTTGAGAGTTCAGTGGAACAAGACTTATATGAGACTCGTACGATGCTTGTTTTCGTTTGGCAGCGTGACTGGTTGGTGTCGCTGGAAGATTTCGATACTTTGTTTGCTCCATCTACCAGCTTGCTGCAGTATGTTTGTATGTTTGTTTTAACCCTATCTATGTAATTCCGAAACCCTGACCTTAGTTTTTCTGGGGTTTGTTTTGTATCCTTGGCGTTGTCTGTTAAGAGGTGCAACTAAGTTGTCTGAAGATAAGATCTGGACGGTTAGGCTCGGGCCATGGCGGGGTTCACTCTCCCCTCTTCAACACAACTGCAAACTCTCGCCAACACTCACTCACTCGACATTGCACTCACTTCACACACATACAATATAGTCTCGTGTTTGCACAATCAAAACCCCACTGCTACTGAGACCACTTGCCCAGCCAACGTCAGCTCATCACCCATCATGACTGCCGCCAACCCCTCCGACGGCCTCACCCCCTCCCAGCTTGAGGCCTTCCACCGCGACGGCTACCTCATCATCCCAGATGCCCTTCCCCCATCCATCGTCTCCGCCCTCCTCGCCGAAACCCACCGACTTCTCGACACCCTCGACCTATCCACCCACCCTCTCACACGCTTCCGCACAGGCGGCGAGGACGGCACCGACCACGTCGGCGACGACTACTTCCTAACCTCAGGCGACAAGATCCGCTTCTTCCTCGAGGACGACGCCTTCGACGCCGCCGGCAACCTCACCAAACCCAAACACCGCGCCGTCAACAAGATCGGCCACTACCTGCACGGCCTATCCCCCCCCTTCGCCGCCCTGCTCAACCCCCCAACCACCACCGCCACCACCACCACCACCACCACCCACCCCGCCTCCATCGCCCGCTCCCTCTCCTTCACCTCCCCCCGCGTCCTCCAAAGCATGATCATCTGCAAGCAGCCCGAGATCGGGGGCGCCGTCCCCCCGCACCAGGACTCAACCTTCCTGTACACCGACCCGCCCAGCGCGGTGGGCTTCTGGTATGCGCTAGAGGACGCGACGCTGGAGAACGGGTGTCTGAGCTTCCTGCCCGGGTCGCACCGCTGGGCGCCGATCGATCGGCGGTTGGTGAGGGGCGAGGGGGGGAAGGGGACGGAGATGGTGGGGAATGGGGAGGGGGCGGGGAGGTTTCCTCGTTGTGATTCCGGGGCGGAGGGGGGGGAGTATGGCGAGGGGTTGAAGGGCGAAGGGGTGGGCGAGTACGTGCCGGGGGAGGTGAAGGCGGGGTCGTTGGTGTTGATTCATGGGAATTTGTTGCATAAGAGTGAGAGGAACTTGAGTCAGAAGGGGAGGATCATTTATACGTTTCATATTATTGAGGGTGGGGAGGGGTTTCGCTATGATGAACGGAACTGGCTGCAGCCGCCGGAAGAGGGCTTTACAAAGTTGTATGCATAGGGTAAGAAGTTACGGAATGGCTGGGTATATTGGAGGAGGGCCTTGAATGCAGTGGAGATGACCACATATTATGATACCAAGTGTTGGCACGAAAGCACGAGTAGCAGCGACGACTGTAAAAAGAAGAGCTCGAATTATGAATGCAGGCAGTTTTACTGTACAAAAAAAAGACCCATGACGGTACACCGCTGTGCTGTTACCTGCTGCCGTCAGGCGTCCAAGATAGATAGCCTCCCCCCCATGTTGAACTATCCCCCGTGTGCCCGGGCATCTCCCAAGCAGCCACCAGGAGCACAACCCATTAATAAACAACCATCGGCCACTGAAAACGGCCAGAAGTGAAAGCCAGCTGACCCAAGCGCAAAGGGCAAAAAACCCCCCACCCCTCCCACCTCTGTCAGTAATGCACCGAACGACACCTAGCTCCTAGCGTAAGGATGGAACCCCCTGTTCCCGCCGCGTCCGCCGCCACGGTAATTAGCACCCGGCCTGCCCGCGTTCTTCGGCCCGGTCGGGGCATTAGCCGGCGGCGCGTTGTTGGGATCCACGGGACCCTGCGGCATCTGCTGCTGATGCCCACCACCCCTTCCACCCTTGTGGTAGCCACGGCCACCGCCGCCGCCTTGGCCAAAACCACCACCACCGCCCTGGGCCATGATGGGCTGGGGGACGTCGTCATACATGCCCTCCCAGCTGGTGGGGCCGCCCGGCCCGCCACCGCCCATGTAAGCACCCTGGTTGTACGCCTGCTGGTGCATGTCGCCGCCGCCGCCGCCGCCGCGCCCGCCGCGACGGCCCTGGCCCTGACCGGGGCCCTGTTGCTGTTCGAACTGCTGCTGCTGCTCGAAGGCGTTGTACCCGGCCCGGTTGGGCCCACCACCGCCGCCGCCGCCGCCGCCAGCGACAACAGCAGCCCCCGCGCCATGGTCCTCCCCGCTGGGACTCATGCCGCCCGGGCTCATCCCCTGCGGACCACCAGGGCCGGGCCCGCCGCCACCGCCAGCCTGGTTCATCATCTGTTGCATCTGTTGCATCTGCTGCTGCATCATGGCCGGGTTCATATTCGCCATACCGGAGGGCATGGCGCTGCCACCACGACCGCCCTGTTGCTGGGCCATCATCTGTTGCATCTGCTGCATTTGTTGCATATATAGCATCTGGGACATGGCCGGGTTCATGTTGCGGTTCATCATCATCTGCTGCTGGAACATGGCCATGGCCTGTTGCATGCGCTGTAGGTACTGGGCCATGACCTGACCCGACATGCCCGCGGTGCCGGGGCCCATGCCGCCCATGCCCATGCCGCCGGCCTGGCCACCGGCGGAGCCCTCATCCATGCCGTTGCCCATGCCCTGGCCCTTGCGGTTAAACTTGTTGATCGCGCCAGCACCGCCGCGGCGGGCGGCGTCCTCCTCGTCGCGGAGGTTGCCGCGTGGTTGGGCCTTCTTGACCTCAATGGGCTTGCCGTGGATCTCGAGGGGTGTGGCCAGGCAGGCGTCGACACCGGCCTCGCTCTCGAATGTGACGAAGCCGAAACCGCGCGGGCGGCCCGTGTCCTTATCCATCATAAGGGTGGCGTCGACTACGCGGCCGAACTGCGCAAAGTATTCGCGAAACTCATGGTCGGTTGTCTCCTGGCTGACGCCGCCGACGAAGATCTTGGATGTCTTCTCCTGCTCGTCGCGGGGAATGGCGCGTTTGGGGTCGATCTAGGAAATGGGTGAGCGTGGTTAGCTTGAGGGGTATTGCTGGGAGGAGGATGGGGGAGGCTGATGGGGACTCACGATTTTGCCGTCGAGATAGTGCTCCTTAACCATAACGATGTTGACTGTCTTTGGGTCCTTAAAGGTGAGGAAGCCAAAACCACGCGACCGGCCAGTTGCGCCGTCGCGCATAACGGTGCATTCCAATACCTCGCCGAATTGTGAGAAGTAGTCCCGCAGAGATTCTTAGGGCGGGAGTCAGCATATAATCCTTCAACAAGGTCATGGCATATGTTATAAGGAGGCTTACGATCTGTCGTCTCCCAGTTAAGCCCACCAATAAACATTTTCCTATTGTGACAAAACCGTTAGCCCCCTCTTCATATTATTATTGTATTTCGTTGACAGGCAGTTTCCCCGGAGCAGTATCAACTGGGCATGGACAGATGATTGGATATGACTGGTGAGAGGGTGGCGGCCGAGCGACTGAGCAGTTTCCTCCCCGTCACATGGAACTACCCAGCTGCTCCATATCCAGATAGCGACACGTCCAGCCGGGAATCGGGGCGTGCATGGCGCGTGTAAACAGCAATAGTAAGCTATTATCCCTTTTCATTATGACCCGACCTTGTGTTTTCCCCGAAATTATCCCCATGGTCTGGTGTGGTGTTCTCCATGGTTTTATGTTGGGAAACATCAACTCGCAGATCAGCCCGATCATTGCTTCGAAAGTCGCGCGAGATAGATGTGATTGGGGATGAGGGCGATGTATTTCGGGGGCCGGGCGACTTGTCGTTGTCGCTGTCGCTGTCCGTGTCGCTGTCGCTCAAGCCGAGAGAAATAAAATCGGGCCATGGTGACAGCTTCAACCGCCCACAGTAGGGGACCCAGAACTGATCCTGATCAGGCACCTTGGCGATCTGGAAGGCGATTTTGTTGGAAAGAGATGTTGCAGTGTCGAACGTGGAGCATGCTACAGCAGTTCCCACGAGCGTGAAAGATGCAGCGCAGAGTGCCAGGTATGACTGTTTTGCCGAACTGATTTCTTGTTCCTGTCTCGTGCTCTTCTTGCCTATCGTCAAGCTAGCTGCTAGCTGTCTTCTGGGTGCTGCGCTAATCGCCGCCAAATCTTGAACTAGATCCCGGCGCCAGCAGGACCCTGAGTTTGCCCAGGCCTGCCGTCTCCCGGTTGTCTAAGATTATTTGCGATGGGCTATGAAGACAAGCGCGCAAACTCCCGCTTTATCGTATCGGCGCGGCATTATCGGGGCGAGGGTGCGGTCAGGCAAACTTCCAGTCCCTCCTCTTTTCCCCTCCAGACGGGCTTGACTGCGTACCGCAAGCATGGTTCTCGCACTGGCATTTCGCGTTTCCCACATGGATTCGAAAGTGGCCCAGATACTACCCGCCATGAACAGACCCTCATAGCCAACGCCAAGACCTAGCCCTTGTGCTCCTGTCTGTCCCTTGCCCTCAAGCCTGTCCAGGCCATACCCTCGTTCCCATCCACCACGCTCCTTGCATCCTGGATCGTCGATCATGTCAAGGAGGGCAATGCCACCATGTGGCGGCCTCGTGTCGAACGGCATGGCCAGGACCCCAACAAGCGTCCGTTGTCACATATCTGTCATGTCCAAGCAAAAAAACAACAGAACTTCACTTACCCATCTTCCTTGGCATTAGGGCCTTTGGTGTGCATAATAGGTGCAGCCGGTGCGTTGTATGTCGGCTTCTCATCGTCGTTTTCTTGGCGTTCATGGTTATCGTGAGGCTCGTGATGCGCCACTGCAGTTGACGGCCCGTTTCCGAGGTTGAAATCGATTTCATCATCGTCATCCTCCTCTTCTTCGTCATACTTCATCTCCCCTCCATTATTGTTGTGATCTTGCTGTTGACCATCATCTTCGACATTCTCGTTGTTGGTTTCGGCTGCAGGCTGTACTGCTGAGTACTGGTCGGCTTCGGGGGCTCGTGCCTTGCCAGCAGGCTCATCGTCGTTGTAGCTGTTGATGGTTAATGGCTAGCTCAAACAAGGGTATCGCAATCACAACATACAGATCGGCGAAGAGTTCGTCATCAAAATTCTCCGGTTCTGTCATCGTGCTGGTTTTCTGTGTGCACACGGAAGAATGAACTTGACGCGTTTATCGTGTTTGTCGAGTCGGTGCCCAAAGACTCCAGGCCAAACCAAAGGGCGACCTTGGAAGAGAAAAAAGGACAAAGAAGATAGTTTTGCGTGCTTTCTCCGATAATCTAGGTATCGGGTGATGTTTCGGGGTCGATACGTTAATGCTCCTATTGATGGTTCGGGGTTGCAAGTCGGTCGCGGTTTTCCAAGCGCAATCACAGTGGGCTGGGTTCATGTTAAGAGCCTGGCGCTCGGAGTCAAGGCGCAGGGCCTGTCATTGCAGAAGTGGGTCTGGTTAACTGCCTGGGCACGCTGCAGGGCGACTGTGTAGGGAGTGGGGCCGCTCTTTCATGGATGCCAAGCAGCCTGTGCCGGGGACAGTGCTGGCTATTGTGGTGGTCGGCTGCCCAAAGCTGGCAAGCAGCTGCCCGGTCTGTTCCTGGCATCAGCAGGTAAGACAACGAACAGTAAGAACCCGGAATTGTTGAGGTCGGGACACCAAGTCAAGGCCACCAACCATGCCATTGCTCGACGGCATCACAGGCAATTCATAATGTTTTCTTCTTCCGCCGGCGGCAAGAAGGCCCCTCCCCAGGTAAGAGCGCCACCGCACTGTTTCAGGGCTCTGTTACTGATGGGGCTGTTGGCGCGAAGCAGGAGATGGTGCAAGTCGGTATGGATGGCCTCGGTTTACTTCGTCAACACAGCGAATTCATGCTAATATTACCCTTGGTTTGTATACAGACAGGTCCGAGTATGTCATTCCCCTTAGTCCATGTTTTTTTTTCCTTGCCCTCGAGCTAACGCCTTTCCCATAGCGCCACCTCTCCCTTCTGGAGGGCCCCTCCTTCTCGAGACACCCCGCCCGCGAAGAAGACACGCGACTCCAGCTTGGTAGTGGGCGCCGCATATTCCCACGCCGATATGCTCAAGATTGATTCGTTGTATGTCTTCCGACAACACATCTGCCTCACCCACTGTTAACGAGGCATAGGAACCTCTCCAGCTCCGGATCCCGTCCAAGGACCCCGCCATCGGCTCCAGGTCACGAACGAACAGCCTCCGCCAGCTCTCCGTCGCGAAAAGCGAGCTCCAAAACCAACGCACCGCCGTTGAAGACATATATGAACTTCTTATCCAATACCAACGATGACTGGACCGTGGACGACGATGGCGAAGAGATGTACGACTACGAGTCGGACGACGGCGACGACTTTGGGTTACCAAGTTTATCCAATATGAAGAGGCGGACAAAGAAGAAGGCCGAGCTGAGTAGAGCCCAAACCGACAATGGGTTGGGCTATGACGACGACGACAAGGAGCCGCGGCCACGACGAAACTCGGATAGCGCCGACATCGCCATCGAGCGGCCGTCGTCGATATACCCCATGCCCAAGAAGAGCGAGGGCAAGATACTACGGCCGCAATACAAAGAAATACTACGCGATCCCGCGAATGCGCTCCATCTGATCAACTACCCATCACCACCATCCAACGCAACACCGAAAGAAATTGACGCCATCAACTCAAGGATAACAAGGATAAACAAGTTCAAAAGGTTACTCCAAGCATCAACCATACCCCTGCCCGACCTTCGCGCCCTGGCCTGGTCCGGCGTGCCCGAAGAGGTGCGCGCCATGACCTGGCAACTCCTTCTCAGCTACCTTCCCACGAGCAGCGAAAGAAGGGTGGCCACCCTTGAACGAAAAAGGAAAGAGTACCTCGACGGCGTCCGTCAAGCCTTTGACAAGGGCGGCAGCAGTAACAACAACAGCAACAGCAATAGTGGCACGCCCAACCCACCAGCTCGCGGCGGGCGTGGCCTCGACGAGGCCATCTGGCACCAAATTAGCATCGACGTGCCGCGCACCAACCCGCACATTGAGCTGTACAGCTACGAAGCCACGCAGCGCTCGCTCGAGCGCATACTATACGTGTGGGCGGTGCGGCACCCGGCGAGCGGCTACGTCCAAGGCATCAATGACCTCGTCAGCCCCTTCTGGCAGGTCTTCCTGGGGACGTACATCACGGACGCGGACATCGAGCGCGGCATGGACCCGGGCCAGCTCCCTAGGGCGGTGCTGGACGCGGTAGAGGCCGACTCGTTTTGGTGCCTTACCAAGCTTCTGGACGGCATCCAAGATCATTATATCGTGGCGCAGCCGGGGATCCAGCGGCAGGTGTCTGCCCTACGGGACCTAACGGCGAGGATAGACGCCGGGCTGGCGAAGCACTTGGAGAAGGAGAACGTCGAGTTTATCCAGTTCAGTTTCCGCTGGATGAACTGCCTCCTCATGCGGGAGATCAGCGTGAAGAATACGATCCGGATGTGGGACACCTACATGGTATGCCGCCCCCCTCTCCCAACCCCCCAGTCCCTAAACACCAACACCTAACCCACCCCACAGGCCGAAGAGCAAGGCTTCTCCGAGTTCCACCTGTACGTGTGCGCCGCCTTTCTCGTCAAGTGGTCCGACAAGCTGGTCAAGATGGACTTCCAGGAGATCATGATGTTCCTGCAGTCGCTGCCGACGCGCGGGTGGACCGAGAAGGACATCGAGCTGCTGCTGAGCGAGGCCTACATCTGGCAGAGCCTTTTCAAGGGCTCGTCGGCCCACCTCCGCGGGCCCGAGAACAGGGTGCCGAGCGCCAACTTCCAGCTCTGAATTGGGAGAAGAATTTTTGGGAGGTTTTCCTCCTGTCCTGGGTGGTGCGGTTGGGAGGGGCGTCTCGCGGTACTACTGGGGCCATTCTGCTATGTATCTAAGGGAAGAGACAGTGGGAAGGGGACATATAACGGTTTTTTTCTTATTAATGTGGCGGATATTGAAGCGGTAAAGAGCAAAAGAGCATAGCATAGCATCGCGGATAGGATAGCATATTAATACCCGGGCCAGGAAAGAGAAAGACACATGGATGGATGCGCATTGTTTTGTGTTTTGTGTTCTGTATCCCGGTAGCCTCCCACCTATGTTTGTACGCGCCAGTACATACCAACCTTTTCTGCTAAGGTAGAAAGGAAAACATAGAGACCAAACTTCAAGTGCGCCGTCCCGAATGACAGTAAAAGAGTACAGTGAATACTCATACAACAAACATACCATAAGTGCAACCCGACCCGGGGCTTTTCCTCGCCATCCAGAAAAAGGTAAAAGCTTTCCAACCCTCAACTCACAGTCAGGGGCCGAAGCTCTTAATTCTGCCCCGCATCACCCTCCCGCACCTTCTTTGCCCCTCCCTCCTCAGGTTCCTCGGCCTTCCGCTTCTTCCTCACCAACCCACTCAGATCCTTCGCCTTCTGCTTAACCTCCTCCGACACCTCGGGCGTTGGTGCGGCCGGGATCCCCAGCGCGGCGTTGATGTCCACAGGCGGCTTGCGAAGATCTACCAAGCGCTGCTCCATGTCGGCTAATATCTCCTTGACGTCGGCGATCTGGCGGCGGGTGGCTTCATTGTCATCTGGGTTGTGCAGGGTGGTGAGCTCGACTTCCTTGTTTTGGAGCTTAAGCTTGGTGCTGTTGATGGCGGCTTCGAGGGCCGAGGCAGCTTCGTCGCGGAGGCCCTGGTCTATGTGTTCGCCCTCGCCGCCGCCGGTAGTGTCATCGGAGGCTTTGGTGGCTGAGGCAAACTCGAGAGCCAGGGAGAGCTTGAAATGGGCTTCGGCAATGATCTCCGACTCAAAGGGGTAGAGTTCCTCTTTGTACTTGAGGGAGGCGCGTGAGTCGGTGATGGCGTTGGGGTATCTTTGGTTAGGGTATGTCAGTTTGCAAGCTCGGGAAGCACCAAATAGTGTGGTGGTCCTTCACGACCCTGCGACATACCTCTCGTTCTCGAGCGAGATTTCCGCGAGGAGATCGTGCGTATCGCCGAGGCGCTCCTTGATGTGCTTGACAGCGGCGGAATCGTTGCCGGGTTCAGCGACTTCCTTGCCTTTGCCTTGGTGAGCCTCGTCCTCTGCCTGTAAGTCCTCAAGGCGTTTGTTGAAGAGCAATCGGGCGAGGTCGAGGATCTCAAACGCCACGGCCAGGTCATCCTCCTCCTCCTCCTCCTCTTCGCCCTCACCTTCCTCGGCTTCCTCTTCTTCAGAATCGGTAAAGTTCTCATCGCCTTGAAACTGAAAGAGAGCCTTCTTTTGCTCAGGCTTTGGCTCCTCATTTTCCTGATTTGCCGCTCCCTGAGCAGCAGCGTCGTCAACGGCCTCGACAGCTCCACTCGTTTTGCTAGCTGTAGCAGCCGCGCTTCCGTTCTTAGAGGTAGCCGCCTTTGCCGGCTTCGGCTGTTTCTTCGTCTCGGGGGCCTTCCCGCCTAGAACATCGCTGTTGCTCTGGCCGACCTTGAACAGTGCGCGACCATAGAGGAACAGGATCTCGGCGTTTTCAGGGTTCATCTCGCCGTTCATCTCGGCCTGCATCTCGGCGGCCTGGGCGTACACCTCGGAAGCGTCCTCATACTGTTTTTGCGAATATAGCGCGGCGGCCTTTGCGGAGAGGTCGGCGAGCGATACTCTAAGACTCTTGGCCGCCTCCTCGGGGTCTAGCTGCATCGGCGTCGAGGTGCCGGTTCCAGGCGTGGGCGTCGCCATTGTCGCTGTGTTGTGATGGTTGGGATGTGGTTGTATGTTTATGTTATACCACCAATCGAAATTCCTGCTTCACAGATATCGCAATTGATAATCGAAAATCGGATTGAGGTAAGTTGGTGATCTTTGTTGGATGATTCTCGATGGTTAAAGTGGGAGGCGCATGCGACGAGCTTCTAACGCGAGGGATGAAGCTTCCTCCGGGGACGCGTCTCATTGGCTCTTTCTCTAGCAAGCTGTTCGATGGTTCGATGACGGCAGGGGGTCAGTGGCTCCTTCCGCCAGTCAGTCACCCTTAGGCAGTCGGATAGGTAGAGCAGGAAAATTGAGGTTAGTGTGTCAAAGCTAGGTATCTAGCATCAAGACTACCCGCCTTTTTCTCGCTCAGTTCCTCAGTTCTTTGGAGCAGCTTTGCGGTTCTCAAAGAGATCTTCTGAATCAGGTCGGGGTTAGGGTTATGACGTAGTTCCAGAGAAAGAGCAGCTGAGTGGAGCTATGCGGGGCAAGGGACCTCACGCGCGCCACTTGCTTGTCTCGTCAAGCGGGCGGCGGCCACAGACCAACTCAAGAAGTCCAGGGAACACAAAGCCACCCTGGTGGAGAAAGCGTTTCTGGGATGTCCTTGAGCTCTTCGAGGCATGGTTGTTATTCTAGTTTAGGTTGTAGAGCAACATTACCAAGTAAAAAAGCAGCAACCGAGAATCTCTCGTGATCTCAGCCATCGCTCTTGGCCCATCCAGATGTGATCGCATTCATAATCACTGCGTCTCACTCCCACTGCCTCTCGTCATCCGGGATCACAAAAGAAGGAAAAGGATTTGAAACGTACAACACCGCACATCTATTTTCAGCAACTATCTTCAGACTCGAAGGAAGGATATCTTCCCATACAGTTCACCTTTTCTCGTCAATCTCATCGCCAAGTCAAGTGACTCAATTAATAGCGCCCATTATGTTGCAATCTGTTGGCAGCGAACATGACAGCCACTATGAGTCTGGCCACTCCAACTCTATCGAGGCATTAGTGGCAGCACGAAACGATGGAAAGAAGCATCTGCTCCTCGCGTACGCTCCCTGCTTCCCGAGCTCCCGTGTGACCATTGGCTGCGTGAAACTCACAAAGTATCTTCCTACAGGGCGTCGGGTTCTGTGGCGACCATCAAGAGCAAGCTGGTACCTGCTGATTATTGCATCTACACCTATCCTGACTCATCGGTGCAGTCCCGGTCATCGTCGCGGCTCTAGACAAGTACCAGGATAGTCTCTCGATCCGTATCGTCCTGACCGAGTCGGCCACCCATTTCCTAAGTGGGCAAAGTGACGAGCAGCCCACTGTCGACTCGCTGTTGTACTTACCCAATGTCGATGCCGTCTACCGCGACCATCACGAGTGGGGCCCCCGGCCGTGGCGCCGGGGGGCCAGTATTTTGCACATTGAGTCTGTTCCCTAACTGTTCGTTGGGGTTTCTAGGTTAGGGTGAATACGGGCTAACCACACGGTGCGCCCTGGTTAGGCTACGGAGATGTATGTGGTAGTCTCCGAGCTTGAGGGAGTGAGTGTTTTACCAGTTGCTGATGAGTATTTGGGCAGGGGCCGATATGCTCGTCGTGGCACGTAAGTTGGCTGAATAGGGGTTTCTCGAGTGCCCTCTCAATGTAATGGGCAAGACCAACTGACGGAAACATAGCACTTAGCGCAAATACTCTAGCCAAGGTTCGCACTCGATTATACGGCAGACGTGACCGTCGACACAAGCCTCGGATACTGACAAATTCGACTCCTGTAGGTGGTCCACGGCATGTCCGACAACCTTCTCACTTCTGTTATACGCGCGTGGGACACCGACAGCAGCATCGACATGAAGAAGAAGATCATCCTCGTTGCGCCAGCCATGAACTCGGTAAACCCCAACCTCCAACCACCCTTAAATCTACGAGGGCGTGTGATACTGACCTCCTGCACCAGGCCATGTGGAGAAACCCCGTCACAAACAAGCAGATCCGGGTGCTCACAGACGACTGGGGCGTCAAGGAGAAGGCAACGGGTCCCGCCAGCGAAACACGCTCGATTATCGGCTGGTTCAAGGTCATCACTGTGAGTAGCACCCCCCCTTCCCCCCACCCTATTCTGCAGTGCTAGTAGAGCTAAACTGACTCCCAATCTAGCCCATTAGCAAGTACGTTTCCATGCCTTCAAACAGCGTACACCCACCTTAGCTAATTTCCAACCCAACAGAACCCTCGCCTGCAGCGACACCGGAGGTACGTCGTCCCCCCACCTCATCCCCAATCCTCAAACAATAAACTAAGTAACTAACCAACCTTCTTTAGATGGTAAGCCGACCTCCTCCTCCCCATTGCTTTACCGGACTCCTGCGAAACGCGCCAGGCTTGACCAGTGCTCACTTCTCTTGGTGCCACTGATAAAACAGATCAATCCTTCCGCTCTACCGCCGCAACATCGTCGTCCGATGGCGCTAACCCTATTTACGTAGGGGCCATGGCGTCGGTTGAGTCTATTTGCGAGGCTATCGAGCGGGATTTGAATTTGACGGTGGAGAATTGAGTGTGTGTTGTATGCTAGGACAGAAGGGGGAAATGGAGGGATCGGGGTTGTTAAAAATTGGATGTGGGAGCGGTTCTATAAGAATGTATACTATGACTGTGCAAGTCGGTGCTACTTTCCATGAAGGGCACTTTGGATATGTCGGGGAAGGGTCGTCGGGCATCGATTCGGGTAACTTATGGCCAGTGAATTAGGCTAAGATATGATATGGTATCTTACGGTACAGAGTTGACCTCCCACGGTCATTAGAGTGCTCCCAAACCTCCTCGTTAGGCCACGGCGATAATATCCTCCCCCACTCCTAAAATGGAGTGCAGAATAGAAGAAACTCCATAAACACCCACTGCCTTTTGCCATGCAAGTAGCGACGTGAAATAAACTATTCTATCGGTGTGGTGTGCAGTGAACGCATTGTGAATAATATGACAACACAAGAAGAGTAAACCATCCATCCCTCCGCACCGCCATGTGATGACCGACGACACAAGTATGCATGTGGGAAAAAATCCGCGACTAGGAAGAAATGAACCTCAGACACCAAACAAATATGAAGAAGCGCCAAAACCGCAACCCCCGCCTCCTCCCCCCCACGCGCCATCAAATGCTGGTACCAACCCACCCATGACCCGCCTAGTAATGAGAACAAATCTATGCAGAATGAAAGAAAGAAAGAAACTTCTTCAACCTAAGATGAACCCAACCGGTCGCCAGCCTAGTCGTGGCGGAAAGTGCACTTATCCCCCTTGGCACATTGGCCCTTCGCCCAGAAAGCACACGCCTTTGTGCCGATCAGGTTGCGGTTGATGCCTCGGAGGTGCTCGGGAATGTTATCGTTCTTGCCACCACCACCACCACCACCACCACTGTTGCGGCCCTTGCCACGCTGGTAGTCGCGGTCGCGGTCGTTGCGGTCACGGTCACGGCCATAGCTGTCCCGCTCACGCTCCCAATCACGGTCCTGTCCACTGGCACCTGCACCACTGCCACCATATGTCTGTCCGTAGGCCTCGAGCTCCTGGTTGGATTGGCCGTAGCCTTGGCCATAGCCCTGGGCACCCTGGGCGGCTTGGGCGTAATACTGCTGGTAAGCGTTCTGGGCCGGTTGGGCTTGCGCCTGGCCCTGGTTCTGGCTGGTGGCCATCTTAACCATATCGAGCAGGTACTGGGTGTTCTGCGCGTCAGCCGAAGCGGGGGCTGTGGCCTGACCTTGGTTACCAGCAGCAAGGGCCATCAATGCGGCCTGAATTTGACTATTCTGGTCCGCGGCAGACTGCGACTGAGGCTGGGCGGCGGGCTGTTGGACGCCGAGGGCCGCGAGGATGCTCGCATATTGGTTGTTCGGGTCGGCAGGCGGCTGATGAGCGGTCTGTGAAGCCTGAACCTGAGCGTACGGGTTCTGTTGCTGGCCGTACCAACCTTGCTGCTGTTGTTGGGCAGCATAGTATTGGGCCCAAGCGGCCGAGTAATCCTGGGCAGCAGCTTGAGCGGCCGGTGCCGTGACGGGCTGAGGAGCCTCTCGCTGCGTGAGCTGGTGGGTAGGCGTGATCTGGTTGGGCGGCTGCTCGGCCTGGTTCGCTTTCAGAGACGCAGCAATTGCCTGAAGATTTGCGAGCACCTTCTGGAGCTTAGGGTCGTTGTCCAACTCTTCCTCCGTCAGCTTGCGCGGCATGGATTGGTTATACGGATCCGGGTCCTGCCAGTTCTTGGCCCGATCCGAAGATATAAGCTCGAGGGTTTGCTGATCGCGGCGGACGGCCACAGCAGGCTCGTACCAGGACCGGGGATCTTTGACGGCCGCCTGAGCAACGGGCTGGCGAGGGCGGACATCGGGCGGGCGAAGAGCCTGCCCGTTGTACGAGTCGGCGATGGAGTTGATAGACTTGAGCGTCTTGGTGAAATCGGCATAGTCCGGACGGGCTTTGGTATCGATACGAGCCTGGGCCGCGCGAGAGGCATGATAAGGGCCCCACTGCTTGTACTCCCGGCCACGCTGTAACATTTCATCATACCCAGGCGTCTCGGGAGATAGGTGCGCCTCGCGAACGGCGCTGTTTCCGGAAAGCGACGGCTCGTAAGGTGGCGATCTGGGAGTGGGCGGTATGTCGGCGCGGTTATGGTAGATGACCATCAATTCCTTCGACTCTCGGTCCCTAGTGAGCTTCTGCTCATCGGTCTCGAAAGTCTTGAGGCCGCCACAAGTGACAAATGTCTTTTCCCTCTTCTCTTGAGGGATGGTAGCGGCGAAATTAATGACGGTCGGCTCCTCCCACTCTCGGTCGTTCACTTCCAGGGCTTTGATGCCCTGACCGCCGTGGAGGCGCTTCATCATCTGGCTCTCTTCGCTGTTCTTGTTGCGGCCGTCGGTCCTGACGTTGCGCGATGTGCTGCTTTCGATCTCCTCGGGGTGGCGCGTGAACTCACGGATCTCGACCAGCGCATCACCACTTTTGAAAGCGACTCTAAGACTCCGACGCTTCTCTTTGTGAAGACGGCGCTCACGCTCCTGCGGTGTCTCGTTCGGGTCAGGAGCGTTCACCTTTTTCTTGTCGGTTATGGGTGTCTTAATTTTCTTCTCCTCGACAATCTCTTTCATCAAGGATGAAAAGATTGACTTCGACGCGGGAGCCGCTTCAACAGGCTTGGGTTTGGCCGACTTTGCGGCGCCGGCTGCCGTTGGGGCTTTGAGGGTTGACTCGGCCTTCGCGGGTTCGGCCTTGGGCAGAGGTTTGGCTGCCGGACGGGCCTTTCCGGGAAGCAAAAGGGCGGATCGAGGTTTTGTTTGAGCAGCCGCGGGGCCGGGAGCCGTTGGCGCCGCCGTCGGTTTTGTGTTGATAGGTTTGCCGGTGGGGGTAGCCAGCGACTTTGCGGCCGATGGAATTGCTTTCGCACCACTAGCCGACGTGTCCGGCGTGGGCTTTTTGGATGTGCGCACCTCGGCACCGGTAGGATCGTCTTCGCGAGGCCGTTTGATCCCAGAAAGTACCTTTTGGGGTGCCTTCGGGGCGGTCTTGTTGGGGTCAGAACCGGGTGCCATCGTTTTTGATGATGGAGGTGCGGATGAGAATTTTCGCGAGTCGGTAGTTGAGGTGGCAGGTTTTGAAGTGGAAGAACTCGCCGTCTTTTTTGGGTCGCTTCCCGGAGTCATCTGTTTTGAGAGCATCCGGGCTTGCGTATGGGGAGCTTTCTTCCCACGAGCACCTGACTCTGCGCTAGGCGTGTCGCTCTCGTTCTCGTTTTCATCCTCATCATTCTCTTTGGCATTGTCAAACACCTGAGATATTAGTGCTTTCGCCTCATCATCCCCGTCCTTGCCCAGCTTCTTTCTTAACTTGTCCAACTGCAGCTTTTGCAACTGCTCGGACGTCACCTTGGTGAGCCGCGTATACAGACGAAGGATTACCTTGGCCAGGGACGAATTCGCCTCGCCCGCGTTAGTAAGTTTCACGAGAACGTTGTTCAAAACAGCAAGCATCCTGTTGCTGCCGCTTAATTTCGCGAATAGATTGCCGGGCTCGACCCGGAGGCCCTCCTCGATGGCACGCTCCAGCTGTTCTTTGGCTGTCCGCGCCTTGATCTCGGCCTGGCCACCTTTGGGGGGGTTCTCAGCTGCGGCTTGCAGGGCAGACTTGACATTCGCAGCCTTGGAGTGAAGAAACGCGGCAAACTCGGAACAGGCATCTCCAGCTACCTTTTGGTTGCGAAGGTGAGCTGGGTGAAAACGTAGATACTCAACTGCCTTAAGGCCCGAGAAAAGCGGCTCTGCTGGGGGGTCAACTCGCTGCGGCTTCAAGGAAGCTACTGTTAGCGAAGATTTAAACGATGTGATCCGCTGGAACCATAACATACCTCCTTGCCTAAGCGATCTTTAAGCCCCTTTTTGAACCAATCGACCGGAATTTCTAAGGAGAGGCATTAGCAAATACATCTAATTCATGCTTGCAGCACATCATTTACCGGTTGCCCCTCGCTTCATCTCAATGTCAAGACGGATATCAGCCCGCTGGCGGTCCAAGTCATCCGTCGCCTTTTGGTATGTGTTGGCGTGGTTTCCGAGACTTTCCGCCGGGGTCCAGGCCCGCCACATCTTGGAGAACAACGGATCTTTACCACCCTTTGTCGCCAGAGTCACATATCGCTTCGTCGGTGTCCCCTTTTGGAGTTTTACTGGCGCGGAATCGACTACAAGATTTGGCACACCCACCCATCTCGCACCCGGCCGAGCACGAGCTGATGAGAGGAGGTTGGTATCCTGGTAGCTGATGCTACATACGGGACCGGACACCTTCTGGGGCTGATCCTGAACTGGGACAGGAGAAGGCTGAACAGCGGCAGGAGAAGGGTTGGCAGTTGGCGGTGCGGATACCTTGGCTTTCTTCGCAGCAACTGGGGTGACCTGCGTTTCACCGGTGGCGCCACGCTTCACACCTGCCGCGGCATTTCCCTCAGGTATTTGTGGTTGTTGAACCGGCCGGGGTTGGCTGAACGGTTGTTGAGGAAAAACATGTTGCCCAGCAGCGCCGGCCTGGACGGTAGGCTGTGGTGTGGGTCGTTGGCCCGGTTGCTGAGCGGGCTTGTGGATCGGCTGCTGAGCTACTTGTTGCTGAGCTACTTGTTGCTGAGCTACTTGTTGCTGAACTACTTGTTGCTGAACTGCTTGCTGAATGGGCCTCGGAGCTGGTTGCTGAGTTTGCTGCTGTTGAGGCATTCCCTGCTGGGAAATGTGCTGGTGGAGCTGTTGAGGCAGCTGTTGAGGCAGCTGTTGGGGTGTGGGCTTTCGTGTAGGAGGCTGCGAAGGGGCGGGTTGCTGCGACTGTCCGTCCAGCGATGCCGCAAACTGTGGGTGAACTTGTCGGGAATTCACGGGGGTTTGCTGGCGCGCCTCTGTTTGATACCCCGAGACCGCTGGCGCGCTCACGCCTTGGCCAGAGAAGAAGGGTGATGGTGAGGCATTGGAAGCCGGGGCTGATACGTTGGCTGACTGGACAGCACTAAGAGGGTTCTCAAACTGGGGCCCAGATCCATACCCCGTAGGCACTTGTTCTTGCCACTGAGGAATTGGACCTTGGTGGTAGCTGTTCGGCGCCGGGCCAGGTGGGCTAGCTACTCCACGGTTGAAATTGTGATGAGGATTCACCTGCTGGCTGATATTGCTGTGAAGCTGAGATGGAAACTCATTTCCTTGCTGGATATCGAGGGCAAAGCGGCTGTCGATTGTCTGATTGGTATCAACTGGGTGGCGTTGCTCCCCGAAATAACCTTGCGGTAGCGGGGTGTCTTGAGTGAATGGTGCCGCCGTACTTTGAGGGTGGTCCGACCAGACGTCACCCTGACCATAGTAGTCGAAGGGACGATACAGGCCACCCTGATTGTCAGTTCCGGACAACTGAGGGTTCACAGCGCCGCCGTCGAGGAAGTCCGGGTTCGGGTAGCTGCTCTCCGCACCAGCGGCCTGATCAAACGCGCCGAACTGGTGGTCCCACGCTTCGGTGGGAAAGCTACTCGAATCCCAAGCACCAATCCCATGGCTTTGATCCATAGCTTAGCACCTGTATGTGAAAGGGGTTCACCTTGGATCTATAGATAGTCAATAACCGATAACTGCATGCACTGGGCTCAATACATACTTAGAGCTTAGCGTGTGCAAGAAACGGGTTGTTGCGGGTTATAAGAGTGGGCGATCGGTTAAAATCGGAATTTGTAATTAACGAAGAGAGTTATTCTGGCGCTTGGACCACACAAGTTGTGGGATTTCGAAAGTGGGGCGGATGGGGCAGGGTGCCAAATTCGGCTAGTGTAGTAGCTGATCAAAAGTCAGCCAAGAAAATCCCACCAAATCGCCGATACCAGCGCAACGCAAACGCAAGCAGCAAGACACAGCCATTTCCAGACAGCGACCCAACCAGGGAGAGCAACCAGCAGCAGAACCAGCAGCAGAACGGACAGCAGGCGGCCTGAGGAGAGCGAGCGACAGCATGGCCTTAATACGGCTTAGGACCGGATTTTGTCGATTGAAGATCCGCCGTGGGGCGTTTTTCTGTCCCGACTTTTCGACCTCGATTAAAGCTGAACTCATTCGGGAAAGGGGTTCCCTGGGCGTGAAACGAGCAGCGTCGTTCGTTATGGCGTCATGGTCCTGGTCCAGTGGTGGGTGGTCTGATGGAAGCTTGAGATGCGATCTGCGTCGGCCTGCCAAGACCACCATGACTGAGCAGAGAACCCTGGAGTTGGGAGGGGAGATGCATTTCAATAACACCCCCATGCTTTGTTGCGCTCTTCCTAAATTCCCTTGCCAGTTTCAATCAATTCCGACAGGGTTGAGGCCATTTCGAGAGCAAGTTGGAAGAGGATTTGGGTGGTTGCTGTTGGTCGTTTCTGTCTGCGAAGATCCCCGAGGTTGCCAGGAACTGCCATCCATTGGAAGCCCAGTCAGGGACTTGGTGTCGCGCGAGTCGCCCCGCAGCTCCCGCCCAGCTCGTGCGGCACTGCCCTGGGCTGCAGTCCAGGCCACGCCCAGCGCCTGCAACCCAGGATTGTGTTTTTTGGAACAATTAAACCATCTCAAAGGATGAAGTTGATTTCGATGGGCGGATGGCTGCCGTGGCATTTGGGTATTATTGCCAGTGGCTGCAAATGGAGGGACCCCCCTCCCCCATTTGGAGTTGTGGTGGCCGTCCCGGCCGTTTCAGGCTGCTCTCACTTGGCTGTCTGTCTGCTGGCTGTGATGCTCTCCCCATGCTGGCTGGCTGCACTTCTCTCCTCGTGACAGGATCTCAAGTGTTACGTGCAGCTGATGGGCGAATTCGCCCCGGCTGGACACCCCCAGCCAGTTTCCGCTACCGCTCTCTCAGCCCTTCGGCACGCAGATGAATGCTGCGGCTTCCAGGTTGTTCGACCGGACAAGCATTTTATAGGATAACACACAAGATGCTGTCAGGAATTTTAGATGGGGGACGGATGTTTTATGCATACCCTTGGATTGTGCCCGCGGTGGCCAGAGTTTCGTTCGCTCCGTGTTGCGACGCCACGTCATGGCCAGCGCCCCTCGAAGGCGACAAGTTGCTCACGGATCCCTTACAACATTTCCCGTGTATATCTAGACACGAGGTTTGGATGGGTAAATTGACCAGAGAACAGGGAGACGCGGGTGCGCAGAGAAGAATCAGGCCGAGCGAAGACCTGGGCAAGTCAAACTGCGTCCAGCGCCCGGTCGCGGGTCAAACCGCCTATACAGTAGCTCGAAATGACGAGCAATCAATGGGAAACCCGCCGCTGAAAGTGTTAAGTCCAGCGCGGTGATCTGGGTGATGATTCGGAAAGGGCGCGTTGAGTAAAGGATTGGGAAATAGTGCCACCAGAGGTCTGTTGTTGAAGGAGAAAAGTTGGCGCCTGGACGTGTGGGCCAGCCGCGGCAGTTCATTAAAGGGCTGGGCTGCTGGCTGCTGGCTTCCCTAGGGGGCTTGGGCATGGTCCGTGCAGGTGGCGAAGGCCCATTGTCACCTGTCAGTGATCCCTCACTTTGGTCCCAACACTCGGCGCTAAGCCTTAAACAGTGTCCTTGGTGGACAAGCTCACAAACGGTACGTACCACGATGAACACCTTTGCGTCCATCGAATTCATGTGGGGGAGCTTTGGCTAAACTTAAGACGAGACGGAACATCTACACTGTAGAACAACGCAACGAAGAGATTAATTATCCTGTTTCCACCAAGAAAGTGATAACACATCCTATTTACGCTCTCTTTACTTATCGAGGAGCGAAAAGCCAATGCCTAGCGACCGCGTCTGAACAACAAAACCGCACCTCCGAAACTTGTGCCTCCGAGCGACCAACAGCAGTTCCCGAGAGGAGACCAGTCAACGGTTGTTGTTGTCCTCGTTGTTATTGCTGAAAGCCAACCATGGCGGCGCGGGGGAACTCTCTGCGCGACAAGCAGATTGGTATGCGCCTCGAGCTAGACCTTGCCCACCGCACTATTTGCCCTTCCACTAACAAGGCCTGTCTCCGCAGTTTCGATCAAGAAGATTCTCAACCTGAACGATCCCGTCGAACCAAACGAGAATGACGACATTGTTTCCAATGGCTTATCGGCGACGTCTGCACCCATATCGAAGGACGGGACTCCCGTCTGGAAGCTCCTTGTGTTTGATGTAAGCAACCCTGCTAGAGCTGGTGGGGCTCTATTTCGGACTCTCAGCCACGAGGCCTAGATGTTGGGGACAAGGTGTCCATTGGCAAGAGCTAGAGTTGACTTGGTACTGGATAGGATCTTGGTCGCGACGTGATTAGCCCGGTGCTTCAGGTGTCGGACCTCAGGGCGATGGGTGTGACAATGCACATGTGAGCCCAGTACCCTCGCTCCCTTCCGAGAGGTGTGTTGTTGACCGTTAAAGGCACATTGGCTCCCAGAGAGCCGCCATCCCCGATGTCCCAGCGATATACCTGGTCGAGCCAACTCCGGCGAACCTACAAGCGATTACGAACGACCTCCAGAAGGGGCTTTATAGTTCAGCCCATATCAACTTCCTCTCCTCGATACCCCGACCCCTACTGGAGGACTTTGCAGCGCAAACAGCCACCGCAGGCACCTCGGAACAAATTGCGCAAGTTTACGACCAATACCTCAATTTCATCGTCACCGAGCCCGATCTTTTTAGTCTCGGGATGCAGAAGGAGCATACTTACTGGGCATTGAACAGCGCAAAAACAAAAGATGAGGAGCTGGACCGTGTTGTAGACCGGATCGTCAGCGGTCTATTTAGTGTTGTGGTGACATCTGGTATGTTATTGATCCCACTGCGTACGGCAATTTATCAAAACTGACGACATGGTAGGAGTGATACCCGTTGTATGTTTGGCCAACACCCTGCGCAAAACTCCGCTCGACATACTGTCGCCATATGATGAGTACATATTAATATCTGCTAGATTCGCTGCCCGAGAGGTGCCGCGGCCGAGATGATCGCAACTAAACTCGACCGAAAGCTTCGCGACCATATCCTCAACTCTAAGGACAACCTCTTCTCTTCACAGTCACGGTCCGCCCCTTCGGCCGCTGGGACCCCCACATCAAGACCTGTGCTCATACTCCTTGACCGCAATGTTGATCTGATACCCATGCTTTCTCATTCCTGGACATACCAAAGTCTTTGTTTTGACATTTTCAAGGTGAGTCCCCGCTGTAGGATTTTGGGATCATGGAACTGATCTCGGCCACAGTCGGAGTTGAACCGCATCACCATCGAGACCCCTATCGATTCCAACAACCCAGCAAAAGGAACCTCGAAAAAGACCTATGACCTCGCCGCCAATGACTTTTTCTGGGCCAAGAATGCGTGCTTGCCATTCCCTCAGGTTGCCGAAGATATTGGTAAGAAGAGCTTGGTTCCGCTGGTGACAGCCACATTGCGGACTTCACGGTGCTGACACCATCACCAGATGCCGAACTCACCAAGTACAAGGAGGAAGCGGAGGCGATCACAAAGAAGACGGGCGTCAGCGATTTTGAGGACCTTCAAAATGACACAAGTGCCAGCGCGCAGCATCTGAAGGCGGCTATTACCCTCCTCCCAGAACTTCGTGAACGGAAGGCGACGCTTGATATGCATATGAACATCCTTGCGGCTGTTTTGGGGGAAATCCAGAACCGCCAGCTGGACAACTACTTCCAGCTAGAGGAGACTGTTATGAAGCAGACCAAGGCGCAAATGCTCGAGCTAATCAAGACGGAGGACAAGGGTCAACCGGGGGATAAGCTACGTCTATTTGTTATCTGGTTCCTCAGCACAGAACAGGATGTGTCTCGGCAAGAATGGACGCAATTCGAGGAGGCGCTGGAGGCAGCCGGGTGCGACAAGACCAGCCTGGCATACATCCGGCAGTGAGTAGCCCCGCACCACCCCGGATGACTGGATAGTCACTGATTGCCACTTTCTAGGGTCCGGGCAACGACCAAAATGACACAGCTCACCACCGTCACCAGCCAAGCGGCAGCAAATCAGCAACAATCTGGGTCCTCGGATCTCTTCAACCGCTTCTCAGCCATCTCGACCCGCCTGACAGACAGACTCAAGGAGACGGGTGTCCCGACTAATGCGCTGACATCCAACGTCGCCTCACTCCTCGGTGGAATCAAGAACTTCCTGCCCGTGGACAAGGACCTCACTGTGACCAAGATCACTGAATCGATCATGGACCCCTCGGGCGCAAGTTCGTCGGCGATAGCCAAGACGGAAAATTACCTCTACTTCGATCCTCGCAGCGCGAACGCGCGGGGTACGATGCCTCAGCCATCGGCGCTGCGGGCGGGAGCGGGAGGGGCTACGGCGCCGGGAGGTCTCCCCGGTTCGGTTCTTGGCGCGCAGACGGCCGGGACGGGAGCCAGCTTCGGTCAACGGAGACAAGGGTTTTCGGAGGCCATGGTGTTTATGGTGGGAGGCGGGTCCATGGATGAATATGGGAACCTGCAGGAATGGGCCGCTCGTACGGCGGCAGGGGACCGGGTGACGAGGAGGGTCATTTACGGTGCCAGCGAGCTGGTGAATGCGGGCCAGTTTATTAGCGAGGAGCTGGATAAGCTTGGGAGGGAGATGTCCTGATAGACCTCAACGTCCCCGTAGCAGAGAGATGCGAAGAAGTTGGCTGTGTCTGTTCTAAGCTCTGGGGTTATTAATCGGCGTTTTCGCCTTGCGCAAGGGCCCCAGCAAAACTGGCAGGAATGAGATAACTGTGGCGTTGAAACGAGACGATATGCAAAGCCGCTTGTCTGTAACTAACTGCAGCCAAGCTTTGGCAAACCTTTTTTAGCTCGATGGCTTGCATGCACATGGCGGCCAAACTGAGGTACCTATTAACTAGCGAGCCAAAAACTACCGGTGAGTTGAGGACATTCAACTGTTACGATTCTACCTGAATGGGCAACGCTGTCCCCTCAACCACCTGAGTCAAAGGGAGTCGGTCATTCGGGGAGGCGGAGATCATCCGATCTGGTAAGATGTGGCTGCGGCAACCCTCCCTCTCTGGGCTGTGGCTTAACGACAATGGCGCTACTTTAAATAGTTTTGCACTTCAAGATTAACGGAGGCGAGCAGAGCGAGACAACTGAACGCCACAGTCATTCAGGACTGGGCTTGATCTTTAAGTTGAATTCGGCCTTTCACCGAGCAATGAAATCGGCTTCAACGACAGACCCCCAGATCGTGACCAGTGACCGTTGGCGGCAGTCGGCACCTTGATGTCGTCCAAGACCCCTAAAACATTTTAGACAACCCTTGGCGTGCCCGGGATCTTGGGTGGGACCCAGCCGCGTCAGGAAAACGAGTGACCTCCAAGCATGTGGAACAGATGGGGTGGCAGGGGGCTATGCGGCTTAGCGAGCCGTTTCCGTGGTTTCCAAGGCGCACCATCGTCTTGTCCTCGGCGGGCATTAATATTACACGGTAATAATCATATCAATAACAGCCCCTTTGACTCCAACTCCATCAGCTCTTAGTCTGGCTCTTTCTGTGGCTTTGGGGTGGTTGTCAAATTGGCGAATTTCCCCCGCATTGCAGCATCTCAGAACTTCCAAGGGTTGTCGATCTTGGTGGGCAGCAAAAACACACAAAAGTTCAGACCCGAAAACCCCACAGCAACCGAACAGGCTTTTGGCTCTGATACTGCCCCCCTTGAAGGGAACCCCCACATCCAATCAACAGTGCCGTAGGCCGTGCGACGTCACCACCTGCCCCAATTGAGCGCTGAAACACCACGATCAACCTGCCATCTTCCCGGCAAGCACCGCCCCTTCATTCGCCGGGCCCCTCAGGATCCCTGCTTGCCGTCCATCGAGCCGTCGACTCCTGGTTCGAAAATCGACAGCCTGAAACGGCGACTTTTGCCCAGCTGCTGTTCGACTCTCCTCGCCAGTCAACCTGTTGCGACAGCGCCAAAGCACAGCCCACCTCTTGCAAACCGCGAACCCGCCGTAAATCGACCGACCGAGAGACGGCCCAACAAAGCCCGGCGCATAACGTTACCTGCGGTGCAGTTACGTAGTCGATCAGTTGCGGCAAAGATACCTCCATAACAAACGGGACAAAGACGAGGGAGACGCACACACAAGGAAAGCCGCGCACAAAAAGGAGGCGCTTCGGAACACTGCCAGCCGATTCACTATCAACTCCTCAGGTTGTCAGGCTGCGGCCGCGCGGCTGAGGCGAGGCAGAAGAGAGCCAAGCAACGGCGGCGCCTTGATACATTCATCAACCCACATCCACACCCACATCCCACTACGACACCTCCTACATTCCAACGCGGGGACAGCCGGACGATTCTCTGGCATTTGACAGTTTGACACACTATCGGCCGTCCGAATCGGGAAACCTCTTTTCTCTCTGTTGGGCAGAGCGCGGACCTCCCAACCGAGCATTGACAGGTTGTTTCTCTTTGCATTTGCAGTTGGGCCGTTTGGCGCATTTCCTCGATAGATACCCAGACCGTCGTGTTTCAGTCAGTCGCTCCGTGAGCACCTAGCAACCATGTCGTATAATCGATTAGGCAAGTGGACATCTCCTTCCATTCATCCCTACATTTCCTTTCACGAGGCACCGAGATTTGTTTGTGGGTCGGCTTCATCACGAGCCAGCCGACTTGCCGTTTCGGGTTGCTTTCACACTTGGATCCGCGTTCCTTACCCCGTAACACACATTCTTTCAATCTTCCTACCCAAGAGGCCGGCTTTTATGATGTCTTCGTTTCCTTCTTCCTCTAGCCTACGGCCCAGGCCCTATCTATTGTCACGGGAGCTTTGCTTGTGCCGCAACTCTATTCCTTCTGCCTGGCGCAGAGGAGCAAGTGGACTCTCCTCGGATTTCAAGTGTTGGTCTGAGACCGGCACAGGCTTCTTGGCCCTCTTTCACTACCTTGGGTCCGTCGCGTGTTGGCCCGCAACAGGAGGAATTCTGTTCCTGCTGGATTCCTGGGGAGCCATGTGCTAACCGTATTCCACCATGCAGACGACGACTATTACGAGAGCCACCCCATGGAGAACCGGGTGCACAGGACCCCTTCCCCGGGGCATCCACTTCAGCACGGGTACCATCTCGAGGACAACCCGTACGGTCACTCGCCACTGGATATACCACCACAAGGCCCTGGCAGGTTCAGCCCCGGCGACTCATTACAAATGCAAACAGCAGTGAGTATAGTCTGTTGGGCGGGGGGACTGTTATGTGGTCAAAGCTGATGAAGCCACCAGCAATCCGTAGACAACCTCGGGGGCTACTCGGTGAACCCCGAGGCGCACCATGATGCCTACTACAATCAGCCATACGAGCCAAACCATGGCGCCCAGCAACAGGGGTTCGACCACGCGACACCGTTTTATGACGACGACAATCGGCCGATGTTGACCCATAATGACTCGCAAGTGGGCGCAAGCGATCCTTACCACGATAACCAGAAGCCGAAACCGAGCGGCGGCGGGATCAAGAGATGGAAGACGGTGAAGCAGGTGCTGTTGTACCGCGGAAACTTGGTGCTCGACTGCCCGATCCCTCCAAAGCTGCTAAACCAGCTACCCCATGGCGAGCGCGACGAGTTCACCCACATGCGCTACACGGCCGCGACATGCGATCCCTCCGAGTTCTACGAGGAGAACTTCACCCTCCGGCAAAAGCTCTTCAGTAAGCCCCGTCACACAGAGCTGTTCATCGTCGTGACCATGTACAACGAGGACGAGATTCTGTTTGCGCGCACCATGATTGGCGTGCTCAAGAACGTCGAGTACATGTGCAAGCGGGCCGAGAGCAAGACATGGGGCAAGGACGCCTGGAAGAAGATCGTCGTGTGCGTCGTCAGCGACGGTCGTGCCAAGATCAACCCGAGGACGAGAGCGCTGTTGGCTGGTATGGGCGTGTACCAGGAGGGTATCGGCAAGCAGCAGGTCAACGGCAAGGACGTCACGGCCCATATTTACGAGTACACGTCCCAGGTCGGCATGGTCATCAAGAACGACGTCGTCCAACTCATCCCCAAGCAGCAGCCCGTGCAGATGTTGTTCTGCTTGAAAGAGAAGAACCAAAAGAAGATCAACTCGCATCGTTGGTTCTTCCAGGCCTTCGGCCGCGTCCTAGACCCCAACATCTGCGTGTTGATCGATGCCGGAACCAAGCCGGGTGGCAGCTCGATTTACCACCTGTGGAAGGCCTTCGACCTCGAGCCCATGTGTGCCGGTGCCTGCGGTGAAATCAAGGCTATGTTGGGCACGGTTAGTATTATTTGCTTCCATTCCCCTTTATAGGGCTCACCACTGCTTGTGGCTAACATTATAACAAAGGGCGGCAAGAACCTGCTCAACCCGCTGGTCGCGACACAGAATTTCGAATACAAGATGAGTAACATCCTGGACAAGCCCCTGGAATCGGCTTTCGGTTTCATTTCTGTCTTGCCCGGTGCCTTCTCTGCCTATCGCTACGTCGCCCTCCAGAACGACAAGAACGGCCAGGGCCCGTTGGAGAAGTACTTTGCCGGCGAGAAGATGCACGGCGCCAACGCGGGTATTTTCACGGCCAACATGTACCTCGCCGAGGATCGTATCCTCTGCTTCGAACTCGTCACCAAGCGCAACTGCCACTGGATCCTGCAGTACGTCAAGTCGGCCACAGGTGAGACCGACGTGCCGGATACGGCGACCGAGCTGATTCTCCAGCGTCGTCGCTGGCTGAACGGTTCCTTCTTCGCTGCCATCTATGCCATCGTCCACTTCCACCAGTTCTTCCGGTCCGACCATTCTTTCCTCCGCAAGATCGCCTTCTTTATCGAGTTCATCTTCAACACTGTCAACATGATCTTCGCCTGGTTCGCTATCGGTAATTTCTTCCTCGTCTTCAAAATCCTAACAACCAGTTTGGGCGACGACAACCTGCTGGGCAACGTCGGGCGAATCCTTAGTGTGGTCTTCACCTGGTTGTACGGCGTGTCCCTGATGACGTGCTTCGTCTTATCAATGGGCAACCGGCCGGCTGGATCAGGACCGTACTACATGGCCATGGTTGTGTTCTGGGCAATCCTCTTCGTGTAAGTTCCCAAGGACAGAACCCTCATCTTTGTTTTGCAACAGTGTGCTGACTGACGTCCCTAGCTACCTCATGTTCGCCGCCATTTTTATCGCCGTCAACGCCATCATAACGGACCTCAACACCAACGGCTTCAGTATCGACTCGCTCTTCAAAAATAAGGTCTTCTACACGCTCATCGTCTCCGTCATGTCCACCTACGGCATCTGGCTGGTCGCGTCCCTGCTCATGTTCGACCCGTGGCACATGTTCACCTCGCTCATCCAGTACATGCTCCTCTCGCCCACCTACACCAACGTCCTCAACGTGTACGCCTTTTGCAACACGCACGACATCTCGTGGGGTACCAAGGGCGACGACAAGCCGGACGCGCTCCCCTCGGTCAACACCAAGGACGGGCAGGGCAAGACGGACCTGCCGGACGAGGGCGACCTCAACGCGCAGTACGAGCGCGAGCTCAACGTCTTCAACCGCAAGCCCGTCAAGGAGTCCAAGCCGCTTACCCCCAGCCAGCTCGACGAGAAGCAGATGGACTACTACCGCGGTGTCCGCACCATCGTCGTCCTGCTGTGGATGATCATGAACTTTGCCCTCGCCGCCGTCGTCCTCTCCACCGCCGGCGTCGACAAGATCGTCCCGGACAACGGCCAGACCGAGGAGGAGATCAAGAGCGACCGCGCCAATATTTACCTCAGCGTCGTCCTTTGGTCGGTGGCGGGCTTGTCCGCGTTCAAGTTCCTGGGTGCGGTGTGGTTCTTGGTGGTGAGGATGTTTAGGGGTGTTTAGATGATGAGGACGGGGAAAAGCACGGTGTGCCGGGGCGGGGCGGTGGTGGCGTGGTTATGAGCTTTTATTTTTTTTTTTCACCTATCTTGGCATCTGGCATTGCCCGGTCCGATCTGGTCCTGCTGGCCTGGCTGGGTTGGGGTTTTGGGTTCTCCCTTCTGCTGGGTCATCTTTCTATCATGGATGGATTACAACAATTGACCGGCCAGCTCGCCGGTGAAAGATGGGGTTGTGTCGGATATTTATGATTCATGTTTACTTTTTCGGCTTCGCTGTTGTTTTTTTGGGTCTTTACTTTCTGCCCTTGTTCTTTCTCACTCTCTCCCGATGATTTCACATCTTTTGGTGGGATCTTGCGGGCAAGGTGTTTGTTGCGGAGATTCCCCGTAGGTGGCCTGCCTACCTACCTATTGCACATAGAGATGAGAGCGTGTGATATGGCGAGTGTGTCGAGTACATCTGGATGTAAAGAATAATATACCCCTTGATCATGCGGTGTGTTCGTGCTCCCAACTGAGGGACTTGGTGAACATGGGAAAACGACTAGTACACTGATCTGACTACATGGTGGGAATGAGCAGTGGCTTATGGAGATGGCCCGTCCATCGTCCTACGAATAGGTATCTATCTCATGCTGCCATTAGGTTTTGGGGGGCGGGCACTGACAAAGCTTCCTTCTTTTTCTTTTTCTTTTTCTTTTCTTCTTTTTTTCTCTAGCATTACCCCTTCTGGCTTGCTTGGTATCCTTCACCCGGCCCGGTAACCTCCGGGCTCTTGCCTTCTACCTCTCGTAAGGGATCGTCATATGTGATACGTACACGGGTAGTATTCACGAGCAGCAAGACATGTTCGTGCTTCCGAGATGGTACCGAGCCCAGCCTCAAGAGATCTTGAGAGAAGGGATTTGGCGGAGGAACCAGAGTCCCTAAAGCTCTTTATACTTCCTGAGACTCGATACGAAGAACCTTGTCTGCTAACCCGGAAGGAAACTTGGCTCCGACAGAACGGGATGGCTCGGCATTGCACATCTACGCATCTGAGGTATTTAACAACTCTCAGAACCCCTGATGCTGCTGTTGTGTAAAGCCGCGAACGCAAATTTCCAGTTCTCGGGGGGTGGGAAGATGGGGCGGTGGGAAAGGGGGGTTGATAAGCCACTTTTGTGGTCGGTGCTTTCAACGAAACCAGAAAATTGGCCTCTGGTGCAGTGGTAGCATCAACGGTGTGGTCTGGTTGTTAAAACTTAGATACGGCGGACCCCGGTTCCGTGCGTATACCTGGGCCCGGCGGCATTAAGATCCCCAGTTCGAAACTGGGAAGTACCACTGGTTTCGTTTTTTGATTTATTTTGAGCAAGACGAGGAAAGGGCCGGAAAAAGAAACAGCATGTATGAGCTGGGCTGGGAGCTGTTTCCGTATATCGCGGCGTGACTTGTTGATGTAGAGCAGTGGTTGCCGTGCCTGGGTGGTTAGAAGTGGACGAAGGTTGGGCGTGGAAGAGGAAAAGCGAGAGGGAGAAGAGGACAGTCAAGGAAAATGGACCGGCTAAAGAAACGTTGGCTTCGAAGATTCGTGCTCGCCGACCAGTTCAGGAACAAAATTTCCGGGTGCCAGAAGCAGGTTGATGGGAGATGCCGCTCATTTCTGAGAGACGGAAAACTTCTTAGTGGAACGGATGAAGGATATGATGGCGGGAAAGGCAGTCGGTTGGACAAACTATGAGGAGTGGTGGTGTGAAGAATGACGGCTGCAATGGTGGCTATTGTAATGTCTATCCCACACCACTATCCTCCGTGAGTCCATACTATTATACCAACACCGGTGGCCTCAATAAGGCCTTGCCTTCACTAGGCCTCTAGCAGTGCCCATTCGGCAGCTCCATTGCGCATAAGTATTATTCTGGCCCATCACCGACCGTCAACGAGTTTGTAATGTATCTTGTAGTGATTCTCGCAGCAGCTACAGGGGACTTTGTTCCGCACGCCCCAAATCTAAACACCTGGATGTTGCGTGGCACCTGTCAGAAGCATGCGGGACATCTGCCGCTCCAGTCCATTCTGAGATAGCCGCTGGGTAGGTTTGGATGAGGAGCATCACACACCGGCAAAGGTCCTACATACATCCTACGCGTCCCTCCGCAAACAAGCTTCGAGCTTTCCCCGGAGCGGGCCGTCCGGGAAGCAACGTACCCAGCCACCCGATGTCTTGATACTCAAGAACCCCGCCAAGCTAACCTTATCAGGTGTATTCAGAACAGGAATCCGTCGCAATATTGATGAAGAGGATGCGAATATATCGGTAATAGCAGCTCCGACGCCCCATTGCCAGCCAGACATCCCCGTCTTAGACCCGGGCAGTCACTATCTGTATGAAACGTAGCACAGCAGCTCTCGAGGCTAAGGCATCTCCGTGGAAACTGCTCTCTGGCGTCTGCCTTCACACGGCACAAGACAAGAGCGGTAAGAGGGGAGAGGGGAGGGTGGACACGGGACACGAAGGAGAGAAAGAGGGTAGCAGAGGGCATCGGCGAATATTAAATGCCTCAAATCAGCGCAATGATTTACCACGGAGGGATTCCTGGAAGTGAAGATTCGTGATGACGAGGGAGATCCCGAAAGCTTCAACGAAGCTGAGTGTTGTAAACAGGGCTGCAGGGCTGAAGAACGGCCTTGCCGGGCTTGGCTTTTGCCAAGGAGATCGCACACATTCACTCTCGGCATCCGACGGCGGCGCACTGCAAGACGGCCAAGCGAAGGCTTCATCAGTCTGCCCGGCAGGTGACTAGACTGGGTTTTGCCCGAACCCCGTGAGCATTGGAAGCGCAAAGCTTCCTCGGGCTGAAAACCAATGAGAGAAGCACAGCTCCGGCTTTCCATATCAGGACATGCTCCCTGCACAGAAGAACAGGCGTCGCTGATTCATTCACGAACGGCCAAAATTAACCAGGCCGCCAGGCCTCGCAACCCCATGATCCCTGAAAATCCGGGGTTGTTGCCCATCACTTGACGAGGGCTGGCCAGCCAGCTTGCCGAGAATAATTGGCGCTTTTTGGACCATTCGGTCCACTTTGCCTGCTTGCCAACTCTGGCCAAAAAAAGCCGAACTCGAAAAGCGAGAAAAGAGAATCAAGAAGAGAGAAAGGATAGTTGAAAAGAAATAAAGAAAAAGATGAGGTAACTAAAGAAAACCGAGCAAAATACATTAAATAAAAGAAGCCGAGTCAAATAAAAAGCCGGCTTTGGGATTCCGAATGGCTTTTTTTTGTTTCGTTCCTCTAGTCGAAGGTTTGTTCCGGCGGCGCCTACACTTGGAGTTCGGCTTTTTTTGGCCAGAGAGTGCTTGCCTCTCGCAGTCTTGGAAAGTCTTGACGTTCGCTCACGAGGCCTGAAGACTTTGATGCCAAGTCCATCAGATCAGCATCCCAAGGGAAGCTGCGGCGAGACGCAACCGCCCTGCCGCCCTCCTTGACGCAATCGCTTGCAGTGCAGACGGCTCGGAGCCCTGACGTGAGACGGCTGCAAGGTGGTGCAAAAAGCCAAGTCCCGGCCCTTGCCCGCTGCAATTGCGAGCGTGGTTGCACTGATTTTTTTTCAAGACGACGCCGCCGGCACTGTGCCTTGCAGCCGGGGTTTCCCCCAAGACCCATGAAAAGTCTCGAATGGCTTGAAACCACAGCAGAAGGGTACCTGGGCGGGGTGCAAACGATTGCGTAAAAATTAGACCAGGCCCCGCCGCGTGACCACCCCTGAGTTTTCATCAGCTAACGAAAAGACCTGGCTGGAGTCTCGGCATCAAATTCAATGTCCCAGCTGGAACCACTAAATCGCGGCCAAGAGATGTTGCATGTTGCTGACGCCATTCGGGATGGCGTGGATCAGTGAAAAAGAAGCTTCTCTGAGGCGAACCTCTTGCTGTTTGCTGTGCTGTTGTTAGGCACCGCCACAAGCCTCCGAGGAGGGCCCCTTCCAGGTTCGGTTGCGCCCCTTTTTGTCGACGGATTTCGCCTCGCAAGTTGTGCCTTGGAAAGCCGCTCGGCTGGGCAAGTGCCCCGCGTTGGAGCGTCGGGTGCATGAGACTTTTCTCCTCGGTACATCGATACCTCCAGAGGGGCGGGAAGGAAGGATGGATGCATTGCGCGATTCAAGGGCAAGGCACCGTGGTCATGCGGTGCCCTGCCCAGAACTCGTGCTGGAGCTGCACTTTTGTTTGGATGGAGCTGCTGGATTCTCGGCGCTTGAGGGGATGACTACAGGCACCACTCACTTACACCACCCATCCCGGCTCTTTATATAAGTCAATTCTCCCTGCTCCAGGTTTCCCACGAAGTCGACCAGTGTCACCATAACTGTTTTTCTCAACCTACACAAACTTAAACTTTGGTCTCGACCTCAAGATCTTAGTACCGCCACCAACTTAAGAGTGTTGAGCCCGTCAACTGCAACTTTACCAGACCACAACGTGCAACCTCATCACCGCACACCGACCACACCGCACACACCGCACACACCGCACACCACATCTTACTATCCCACCAACCCCATAACAACCAACAACAACAACAGCAAGAACAACAACACAACACCACCGCCACAATGCCATCCCTCTACACAATCACCGAACCCCACCCCACCGTCCCCCAAGACAGCTACACGCACTCCGGGCGCGGCGGACTAGGCAACTTCTTCCGCGCCCCGGCGACCACCTCCCCCAGCGGCGTCCCAACACCCTCCCACACCACCAAAACCACCTCCAACAACAGCAGCAACACCCCGCGCCGGTTCTACTCAGGCCGCGGCGGCGCCGGCAACGCCCACCAAGCCCACACTTCCGCCGCAACACCCTCCTTCGACGAGGAGTTTGCGCTGCGCGAGTCGGCGCTGACGACGGTGGTTGGGCATGTCGGGCGGGGTGGGGCCGGGAACGTCTTTTCCTCGTCGGGGTCGAAGGGGGGTGCCACGGATGGTGGGGTGATGCTCTCGCGGCGCGACTCGGCGAGCACCGAGGGCAGTGCGCGGTCGGAGGCTTCGTCGTCGTCGTCGCTGGCGGGGTTTTGGGGGCGGGTGAAGAGCAAGGGGCGTTGAGTTGGCCAGAAGGGGAGGGGTTTTTAGTTGGGTTTTCTTTTCGGCAGGTGTTATTTTTCTTTACGAGCAAGGCGTTTTTGGCGGGGTGGGAACGATATTCATTGGTAACGGACGGCAGTGCGCTCGGCGAGGTCACCAAGGGTTTTATGATATGGAACGGGAAAAAAAAGGTGGGAGCTATTTGGGATGCGGAAGGATGGTGGATGGCGATGGCGATGGACTGCGTCTTCCTCATCCTCCTTCGAGGGCGTAACGAGAAAGGCGTTTGTTTTTGATGGGCAGCTGCTCTTGAGTGACAGGCTTGTTGTACAAATCAATATACCCCCACTGCGACATGGCATAATCTGTTCGTTTTGACCTTGAACCCGTAAACCGCGGAGCGTGACAACTTGTTTTCCACGCCGTTTCGGAGACTGCGGTAATCAAAAATGGGTATCATTCGTTTTTTTCTAAAACGCTCATTGTAGGCTGCTCTCGATATGGCCTCCCCCCTCGACGCCCCGGCTACTCCGACCACCGTACAACCACCTCTCGAACGCCATCCACCATGACTTGGCACATTATTGTTTCCGCAAGCAGGCTTGGTTCCGCACCTGCGCCCCTCACGCGCTATATACCGCCATTTGGGTCCTTATCTAGAGCAAAATCTAGCCAGCGGTCTTGTTATGACATCTCGATTGTCCTAGCTTGCAGTATCTTATACGAATCTGGTGTGGATGATGTTTGGGTCCTCGTGCCAGTCGTCGACCTTGATCGTCATCTATCCAGTAACACATTAGCAAAAAAAATCAGGACGAGAACAGATGATCATGGACTGACCTTGCTGAACGTGCTCAGCTGAGCGAGAATACTGCCACCGATCCAAGTGGAGTACTTACGCTCCGGCGGCGCATAGATCTTTATCCTCATCTCCCTGACGGAAATGCCCTTCACCTCGGCCAGCAGACGGTCGCCGAAGCCCTTGGTGACTGTGCTACCGCCGGACAGCACAATGTTGGCATATAGGTCTTTCCGCAGGTCCATATCCGTCCGGCTGATCGAGTCGACGACGATCTGGTGCACGCCGGGGTACTCGAGGCCGATGATCTCATGTCGAAGAGGATTTCTGGCGCGCGGAAGCGCTCGGCGCCGATCTGGAAGCGCTCGTGTAATAACTTTGGCGTAGCTCGGAA